GGAAATAGTCCATGAGATAATACACCGGCCCTATGCCCGTGGCTGCAATTACTGATGTGTTGTCGATCCAAAGGGAGACGGTCGTTACACCTTGTTGCTGCTTGAGCAGTTCTAGTCTCAACGTTGGGCCTATTGATTCTGGCTCGATAAAAGCACTTGAGTCAGAAAAAGTCGGACCTCGACTCACTTTAAGAGTAATAAGTCAAAACTTCAAAGAAAGGTTTATTGGAACAAATAGAAAGCTGAACGCTGACACTTTTCCCCGGACACACTAATTGAACTGTGTAATCCATCTCCATTTCCATACGCTGTCAGTGGTCACAAATATTGTATTTTAGCATTTCTCCAACTAAACCGTTTCCTGGCCCACAAGTTCATGGTTAACTCTGCTTTCCTCTTCCTTCATTATCTAAAAGTATGGCCGTCAGAACACGTAGTAAAGAGTGAGAATTGAAATAAATATTCACTGATAGGACATGTTCTTCAGAAGGATAGTGGGATGGTTGGGTTGTAAAACTGACACTGGCCGCAGTAGTAGTTGAACGTGGTGCAGCCTGGAAAGTCCAGGTGTGAGGGTGGGTACCAGAACCATCACAGTCTACTAGACTACTACACACCTCAAATCCTAAATTCGACCCTAATATTATTTCTGATCTGTGTGCATCCCTAATGTACTCGCGGGCGTTGAGATTGGCGAGGACAGTGTTGTAATACAGCGGGCAGAGAAGATAGTAGATAGTTCCATACATCTCGATATTGCTAACAATCGACTGAAGACGATCATGAGTTCTTCCAAGATTGGATGGGAAAGCTGGGTATTCGCACTCACCGCAACAAGAGCTGCTAAAGCGACAGATGCTGTCCAGAATCCAGAGTTTATGGTCAAAGTAATCAATCTGACAATCATCGCGTGCGACCTGGCGAGAAATCCTGAGTATATGCGAGTCACAGTACATAGTAAACTAGGACACTACCCAGCAGCTCCCTTTGACTCCTTGAGAAGCCAATACGTCATGCAAGCAGCAAGCCCAGCGTCAATAGCAACAGGAAATGCATTACAGGCGATTGTTGGGTTCTATGCAATTTACTCATTAGATAACCAACATGGATTAGCCAGGAAAAGAATACGAACCACGAACGACTTGGCTGTTAATCGCTGATTGTTGGTTGTATTAAAGCTAGTAGGTGTAGATCAGTTCTCTGTACACGTATAAAAATATGACATACGTGATGTGAAGAGTAACTGAAAGAACACTGTGGGCACCTTGGCAGTCACGTTCGAAGTTGCATCGAAATACTTACTCGATTCTACAACTGAATATTGGGTCAGCATCAACTACAATCAGCAAACAAAAGAGGGCACTCACCTAGTTGCCCTATGATCAATGGGAGCTTTTCGAAATTCCGAATGAATTAGGTCAAGGGAAATTAATATGATGTTCTCATTGTACTCACAAATATGATAGGAAACAACCATCTCCTGCTGGTAACTATTTTGGGGATAAGTCAAAGCTTTAAGCCCAAAAATACAACGAATGTTACGCGCATATATAAAGGCGATATGTAAAGAAGCATTGGGTTACCAAAGCAGTGAGAGCCTAAGGAGCGGAAATTTAGCCAGATGACTCCAGTATGAAAATATATCCTACATACTGTCATCAAAGCCTGGATCTTAAGAAGAATAATTCAATTATAGTCCCAATGGCCAAAGTATGAAACAGGCGACATACAGAGTTTCCTCTAGCATGCAAGGCTCGTCAGTAGACCATGGGTATATAAGAAGAAACATACACTGCCTCAACAGATAATGCTGCGAGGTTTCCCCAGGATTTGATTAGGAAATTATACTCTGGGGAAGAATTGAGGTATGGAGGCTCATCGAGAAAAACTGCTTACCTGGCTGAATGAGACAGACAACCTGGATTGTCAACATGGACCTGGAATTTCTGGCATCAGCCTGGTAAATGCTTTGCATCTCACTGTAATAGAGGCTCACCACAGGACTATGACCTATATTTTCCTTGGTCAACAACGATTCCTGAGATGGGCGATTCAAGTTGTGAGAGAATTCATACCAGTATTTTCACAATAGCTTTGTCTTTGGGATAGCTGACCAACTGTAAGGGCAGTAATTGTAAGTATCTTGTTAATAGACGTACCGGATGAAATAAGCAAATCTGTTAAGGTGCATTAGTGGCCGATCCATGTAGGCAAACAAAAAATTGTTCGCACATCTGGATGCACGAGATCCCCCACAATACCGAAACAATATGGATAGAAATGTACTCTCCACCATAGATGTCACTGATATCAAGAGCTGAACCTGGAACTGGAAGAGAGGTAGGGCTAGACATCATGTTTGTTGTTTATGAGAAACCTTAGGTCTTAAGTACTCAAATCAAGGCCAACATCGCTATGAAATACCACTGTACTGCTGTCCTATCCAGAATAGCGGAGAATCCTCAATTTTTTGCTCCACTGATAGTTCCGACAATGCTCGATCTGTGCAAAGATAACATCAAAAACGATTTTTCAAGATGCCGAGTATTCCACCTGGCAGGCCTTGCTGAAAATAGGACTGCATCAACGAAATGTGGGTGGGCTGGAGCCGTTGTCAGGCACTATACAGCCGTTTCCAGTGGCTCCCAACAGCTTCCAGCACTGTACACTACCGAAAGCGGATTCCAGTCCATCTATGTTTTGCTGATCAGTAAGTTGGCATCCCAGTATCAAAGGCGGCAGGCCTTGAGTCTCCCAATGTTTGTACACGCCCATGGCTGTACAGAGAGAAATGTGAGAGCGGCACTTATTATTAGTGGTACAAAATGATTTAGGGTAACAAAGTAAATAAGAAAATCAGAGAAAGTACTTACGTGGAGAAGGCCTGATGGCGAGCGAGCCGCGATACTAACTGTGCCTCAGATATTGGTGTCGGGAGGTACTTGTAAGCCACTATCAACAGACATACTAGGAAACGAGAGGTTTAGAATGATTACTTAGCGGGTAAAGGTATTGTGCGCAAGGGAAGTAGTAACTACTAGACGCTCAACGGAACGATTTAATGGCACGTTTTTGGCAGACATATACGAACTGTCAACCAGGTTATATTTTGTTTGCACAAACCTTTTATTTAAGTACTACTAGTGACTATTTCCTACATGGTCCAAATAGAGCTTTCAACTCAGACTGTTTTATAAACGCTCATAATTTACTACTTCCTTAACTTGAAGTTCGGAGTATCCGGACGGGTACAAATGTTTGTTTGGCAGCCCGCCCTCCACTGAGTCCACTCTTCTTCGCTGCACTGTCTTGTTATCACCCGCTTCAAGTGCTGCATATGCTCAAATATTCGGCCTGCAGAGATTTACAGATGTACGCCAACAAAATTCTCTCCGTCATTCTCAAATCCATTCCAGCAGCCTCATCGAATCAACTTCACCTCTGGTCTCCCACAACTCGCCTCGCAACAGTGCCTGAAGGCATTGAGGGTGACTCTTGGCTGCCAGCAACGGGAGCTTGACGAAGATAAAGCTTTTGTACGCAACAAACTCAAAAGTATGTTGATTTGGGTATAATTGATTGGGCGGATGCATGAGAGACATTGACCTTATCCGGTTTTAGTACTAAGTCTTTTCATTAAGCTGTATTTATGACAATCTTTTTCACAGGAACGGCGGCCTGATTTTCCAACACTTTGGCAAATTGCATTAGATGTCTTACCGGAACAAGCCTCTGGTGTTCCACTGTGTGAAAGGGTCTTCTCTTCTTCTCTTCTAGTAAGGAGATCGATATACCCCATCGCAACTCTCTTTCGCCTATGAAGATTAATACTAATAGACTTAATTTTACAGAAGTCTAATATATACAGAGGCAGAGCTTTCTAGTTTTGTAATGGCTAATGGATGCGCAAACGTGTTAAATTCAAGCTCTGCAGAGTGCGTACTATTCGCGTATTATTCCATATTATTCTGCTGATCAATGTGGACTTACTGGAGTTAATGTTAAACGTATATAACTATCTCCTAAATGGAACTTAACGCAAAATTGACGACGAGTCCAAGTCCGACAAGGCAATCCTCGGTTTGCCTGGGAGACTGGAATCCTTATCGTTTTAGATAAAACAGATTGACTCGACGAGCGGCTCCAACTTGACTTGATTTGATCAAGTTAATTTTTATTCATAATACTTAACTCGACTCGAGTCGAACTTGACTCGCGGCAGCACTAGTTTGGCTTTCCCGAAAGGGAGTGCTGGGTGATGTGGGCTGGATCCGAACCTACCGAACTTGATCCAACAGCAACTAAGTACGGTCATGAGGGCCATTGGTAAGTAGAAGTACTAGTAAAGCACTGTAGTACCCTAATACTATTTTCGTACTTTGTGGTTTTGGCGTGTACATAATATAAACTAATTAGGAAGGCTTATTTGTTGACTACTCCATCCTCATCTCGGCAAGTCGTTAGCATGAGCGGGTTGGATGTGGAAAGCGGTGGAGGTGGGAGAGCACTTTCGGCACTTGCCCGCTTTATGAGGGTTTGGCCGAATAAGGTACCTGGTCCTTAACACGGAGAACAAACAAAGTTGATACTTTACCATCGACGCAAATGATGTCTCTTCAGCCGCAGAATTACGCACTGCCACGCACTCTAGTAGTACAATCATGTTTATTCTGTCATTCGGTGTTTATCCAGGCCGTCACGGTGACACTTCTCGGTGACGCACGCGTACAAGAATTTTGCCATGGCATTAGTGGCAAAGCACGTTAGATATTTACCTCCGATATACCCCGCTTTGTCTCGTGGAAATCCTGACTTCTTTATTCCATTCAACGATGTACTTCAAAGTATGATATTTAACTTTAGATGGGGATCATTAAGCAGACAGTACAGGATCCCAAATCACTACTGCTCTGAAGGAGTTGCAGAATTGAAAACTAAGAAGGGAAACTTGCAGACCTCCAAACTACTTCTGGAATGGACATCATCAACAAACCTCTGTTGGCCGACTAGCTCAGTTGGTTAGAGCGTCGTGCTAATATCCTGTGATACAATGTATATTACTATTAACGCGAAGGTCTTGGGTTCGATCCCCACGTTGGCCATATATACTTTTCTCTCTTTTTACAGCTTTCTTGCCAGGAAGTCTCCAGTTTTGCATACACTAATTCTATTTAGTATTTCTGAGCTGATGCTTTATTAGTCAGTTCCGAGGAAGTTACAACCTCCATGTCGCTGGATACAGATTCATATATATAGAGTGGGTTTTGACTAGAAAGTATTCGGGACGACCTTAGTGGGGAACTTTACTTGTCTTCATGACGGAGTAGGATATAAAGACACATGCCAACGAACGAATATACACAAAAAGTCCCAGTATTCCGCGATTATTGTACCATTAATGAATTATACAGAGTAATACGCAGAGCTGTTTCAAACCGAATACGAACAGCATGCGTACAAAAGTGCCGCCGATCCTAACTCTGCGCCTCTCGCTCAGCAGCCACACGGGCCTCCGCCTCCAATTCCTCCAAAGTTGGATTGGACTTTTCCCAAGTTTTCAACGCAGCTTCGAACGCCTCCCATACTCTACGACCGGCTAGTTCCCCACCGAGCTCTCCGTCATCTGGTAATTCCATATCCGGCACTTCTTGGTCTTTCTCGGAGGCTTTTTCCTTCCCCTTCGTACTTGCCTTCTTTTCCGTGCCTCTTTCGTTCGCGACCACTTCATCAGGTGGAGGCGAAGGAACCAGCAGCTTTACTACGGCGCATTCCGCATACAACGACCCGGGTTTGAGAACCTCCTCAGGCAGCTCAGTGATAGATTTATCAACCAGGCTATCGTTGTTTTGAGCTTTAGGATTGGGTGTGTTGTTGACGGTTTGTGAAAGGAGCTTGAATGGAGTGGGTAGAAATAGAACATGCAACGCCGATTGAACCGCCGCGACGGAGGATTTAGTGAAGAGGTGCAGTAGTGGCAGGAGCAATAAGTATCTAGAAATGCGTCAGAAGACATGCACAACCGTGTATTTTTCGTAAACTCACAGAATCACCCCCAGCATTGAATAACCGGAAGGGGAAGTCCAATCTGCATTGAGCAAGCGCGCGACGGTATCTGCTCTACTGATCCCAGGCGAAACAGTGACTGCCACGATATTCGACTTTTGTGAACCGGGTTTCACGACAGGAATAGCAGTGCTGGTACCCTCTGTTTTGGGAAATTGAGCTGATGGCAAAGCGTCTAGAATACGTTGCAGATGCCGTGTTAGGATTACGGTTCGTAGGGAACGAGTTCCTTCCGCGAGAAAAATTGACTGCGATGCTGGTGGCGGGGTTTGTAGAGAGGTGAAAAAGCTGGTAGATGACGCGGCAGCGGCATAGAATCGGTTAACGACGTTGATAATACGTATGTCGCGTTCTGAGGGAGCGGTGAGGAGGGCTGGAAGAAGAAGAGTAGTGAGCAAAAATGAAGCCAACGAGAGTTGTTCTCTTTCATTGTTGTCTTGTACTTTTGAACTGGTCGTGAATTGCTGGAATGCACCGATATGCGAGTATTCGTGCGTCAACAGTAGCGCGTCAATTCTCTTTTCTTCGCCTGACAGGAAACGTTTGCAGAATGACTGGATAGATGCTGGTGAGTGCAGGTCACATTGCTCGGCGTATATTTGTTCATTGGACGTTGTTGTCCGTAAAACATCGATTATTAGAGCAACTCGAGGAGAGTCGATTGGGTCTGGAGAAAGTGCGATAATGTGAGCTCCTCTTTCAGCTAATTCTTGTAGAATAGTAAGCCCAAAAGGTGTAAATCCTCCCTATAGAGCTTTCTTCATATTCCGGATATGTAGACAACAATGTGTAGCTCACTGTAACCACGATAGTCCTAGCGTGCAAATCTCTTTCTCTGGTCGTAGCTCTTCCTTGTGAATATGTACGAACTGCGAATACTGTTGCAATGGCAGCGACGATGTGGACCGTGTATTGTGTAGGAAAGTACTTGGTCCCTAAAACTTCGAGGATATTGAGAACCATGGTGGTGGAAGAAGCATGAGATTGATGTCGTCATCGAGCGTTTATAGAGAAGCTGGTTCAGTAACACACCCACATCCTCTCGAGCAAGCCGCGAAATTGTCATGGCGGAACGGCTTAGCCAGGAAATGCGAGAGTATGGTCGGAAATCACTGGAATCCTTCCGATATCGCATTTGGGATATGTCCGACACCCCCCGAATTCAATGGCTACCACCATTTGCGTTACTCGCCGACGTTAGCATTACTGCTATACTCGATGAGTTCCCCAGATTATTTAATATCTATCGATGATATAAATCCCCACGTCAATGGCTTCCTTCGGTGTCATGAGCAAGCTCTGTTAGACGAGATTCGGGGCCTGAGGAAGAAGTTCAACCGAATGAAAATTGGATTGGATCCTGACGAGTATGTTTTCTTTTGATGTCTTCATAATTGAATCTCATAACGTTCTAGACCTGACTGCATCCCACAACATGTCTCAAGCTAGATCTCTTCCTCGTATAGCTCATTCTTTTTCTCCTTGGCTTCAAAGCAACTAAAGCCTGGTCTACCGTGGAGGTCACTACAAGAAACGTATGTCGGGTTATTGATGATGTATTAGTATTGAAATGTAACTTTTTTTTAGGTCAACACCGTCAAATCCAACTCTGGTATGTTTGAGCTAAGTGGCTATAATACCTTGGATGTACACAATCTATATTTCATTTAATATCATATCCGTCTCCTCTGTTACCTGACCTTCTGCCGTGTACTCCGCCTCCGCACCATCATCCATATTTCGCTTGGGCTCATAAATATCCTGTTCGACCGTACTATCTGGATCAAACGCAAATCCATCATTCAAGATCCTGAGCTCGTTGGTTATTCCTTCGACTGGCAACGCAAACGTATGGATTTCGGTATGTGATAAACGATCCTGCTGTTCTTTCTGATCATTGAGATTTTGAGCCCAGCATGTGTCATAATCCATTTCTCCAGCCTTCCGTGCATAAGACTCGCTATTCCTCGACCAAATTCATCTACGCGCTGGCTATCTGCTTCTTTATACTGTTGACCTTTCTGGAATAGGTGAAGTTCTTCGCTTTGGTATCGAGCCATTAATTTCCGGATATCTGCTAGTCGAGATGGGCGATGACCTTTCCCATTGCCATTCCGCATCAGTGCGGTAAATGCTTTTTTCGAGCCGAAGTTTCGTTTGTCGCAGGTTTTTTGCATGGCTGTATAAGGTGTGACTGGGATTGGAGATATTCAAGCAAATCTTCTGTTTGGAACTCGTTATCAAGAAAACAGGTGGCCCATAGTCCAAAACATTGACTCGTACCTCCAGATATCTAGCACACGCGCTTCAACCTGAGTCTTCAAAAGATCATTGTAACGCTAGAAGTCGACTTTACTGACATTTCCCAGAGCTTTCCGCTGAGTATTAGCTCCGAAGCCAAGACTCGACGGATCGGCACTGGTAAGTCCTACCTAATGGGCTTCATATATCCGGCTGAGGTTCGTCCAGATTGTGTGTGCCAAATCTCAAGGATTTCCATCCGCTCGTGCTCGTTTTCGAGAAACTGGAGGTAGTTTTTCAACTGACCCATCCGTTCGTAGCCAAGTCCATCCTCCCCCTGGTCATGGCCAGTATTCGCTCAAGCCCGAAAAGAGGATAAACCCCTACCATGCCTAAACGAAGAGCTTTGATCACTTGAACTCCGACCACGGGCTTGGTTTCTTGAGTTACTCGAGAATACCCTTCAACGAAGAAGTTCATGTTGACCGGCAAAAAAATCCACGAATTTGTGCTTTATGTTTTTCTGCTCCCAGCTCACGATACAGGACAAACGTTTTGCGCAAGTCAGAAACTCACTAAGCCCACAATTCACGGCCATTCTGTCGACTCTTCAAAATTTCTAAAACACATGTCATCCACACTGTCTTTCCTGCTTTGAACGAGTGGAATTACTCTACCAACGCAGGGTCTTCCTGCTGCACTTGGTATCGAGACGGATATCAAAACAGTCCTTGACAGAGGAACCCGTTGATAACTATTAGATATGGTCTCGATATTCAAGCAGTAGCTATGATACATTAGCCAATACGGTTATTTCTTTATAACTTCATTCTTTTACTCCGTGGTTCCATCGATATGCTTCTCCTTATAGGCGGTTTCCTTGCCGGTCTATTGAAGAAGTTAGCGATGAGCATAGACAGGGAAAAGTGCGACTAGCATTATCATTGCGGATAACATAGCGAGGATCTTCAGGGGAAGCCTGAATATATCCGTATGAGTACTCTGTAAAATTCGCAAGGAAAAGATTGGAAGCGCACATTCACTTTCAAGCCTCTATCACCCGCAGGTTGCTTGCTGGTCACGACATCCGTAATCTCTCCTTCAGTGGAGATATTGAAGCCGCGACCGGGGAGGGGTTGATATTGAACATGGTCCCCAACCTGATGATAGCTCAAGCATAAGAAGAAGAGTATAGGACAGACACACTTCATAAGATCCATTGTAAGTATTCTTCGATTCGTTCTTCGATTCGTTCTTCGATTCGGACATGGTGAGAATATTCAAAAGTTGTGTAGGCTGGTATGTAGTGTTGCGAGTAAAGTTACAAACTCATTGCAGGTTTTTATATCCGGGGGCTCGGCCAGTGACGCAAGGTTGGACACTGTCATCATCGGTGAACGCATCAGTGAACGAATACTTAAGCGAGGGCGCTCCAACCTCTGAACCCCGCCGCGACACGCATGAGGCATAAATGAATGAATTTTATTTTGCTCCTCTTTTGGCCAGTATATGAGGGCAATTATAAAATCTTGCCCCAACTCACTGAACACACGATGACCTTGTGAGGATGTAGGTCAAGGTTGAGCGCGTTTTCGTAGTACACAAATATCCTGAGTTCAACGCAAGTTCGAGTGACGTTCGATATTCTGGTTTTCGACCCGTCGCTCCGGCGCCCGCCTTTCTTTCTGTTCTTCTCCTACTTGCAGCTTCACGGAGCGGACTGTTTACCTTGCCCGACACTGTGGTAACTCTCTGAAAACCGCTATGGGAGCAATCTATGTTAGAATAAGTTAACAAT